CACAGGGAGTGGATCGCTCCCGGCCATGGGTGGTCTCGGTGCCAATCCCTACTTTCCAAGATTGAAGAAGGAGCCAGCTTCAGCAGTCGAATCCCGGGACGTGTATCCAGGAGGAAGAAGAGCTCCAGCACGTACGACAACAGGTATAACAACCCTGCCCAGAGCTGTAGGCGCTCAGCCCTCCGAAGAGGACAGCGATGTCTCCATCCTCGGCGTGAGCAAATGGGCCCGAGAAGTTGATTTACACTCTCGTGGTAGACCCAGCTTTCTCTTTCCGGTCCGCCGTGCTGCCTCAGAATCCATCCCCTCGGGTCAGGGGACCAGCCGTGACCGGTAGTGAGGGACCATCCCAGGGAAGCTGTGAGCACTCCCCGGAGGAGGTGGATAGCTGCCCTGTGGACTCAGCAGAGCCAAACCCCATCCAGTAGCTGTGCTGACGTCCCGTGTTTGGCTCTGGCCTCCTGGGGGCTGTTTGTGCGTGGAGGACCCTGGCTTGCTCCATAGCCACCCCGTGCTGGGTGCCTCTCCTTCTTGCAGAGCATGTCGTGCCTCCTCCTGTCTTCTAGGACCAGCGGTTTGCCTGTGAATCCACAGTTCTTGTTTCTGCCCCAGGATGGCCACACCACGTGTGTCCACAAGTGGACGTTGTGATTCACTGTCCAAATCCAACTCAGTTAACTGAGCTGGTCTCAGGGGTTATCTAGCCCCGTTGCATGTTGGGAAGCACGTGACAGGCCCTGGGGCCGCCGGACACCCTGTGGGACCCTGTGCGTCCTCTTGAGAGCCAAGGGTGGGTCTGCTGTGCTCACAGGGGAGGAGGAGCATGGGATCACGACCGAAGACTCTGCAGAAGGCGACTCAGGCCCAGCACTGTCCTCCTCGGATGGATCCTGAGACGTGCGCCTGCCTCATAAAGATGTCAAGGGGTGCCTGGCGGCTCAGTCGGTTAAGCGTCCAGCTCTTAGTTTTGGCCCTGGTCGTGATCTCAGGGTCATGGGATCGAGTCCCACATCAGGCTCCATGCTCAGGACAGAGTATTCTTGAGGCTCTCTCTCCCTCCCCCTCTGCCTCTCCCCCCGGTCACGTGCTCTCACGCTCGCTCTCTCTCTCACTCTCTCTCGCTCTCTTGAATAAATAAATAAATAAATAAGCTTGAAAAAATAAGAGGGAAATAAATAAATAAGCTTAAAAAAAATAAAAGAGGGCCGCCTGGGTGGCTCAGTCAGTTAAGCGTCTGCCTTCAGCTCAGGTCATGATCCCAGGATCCTGGGAGCAAGTCTTGCATCGGGCTCCCTGCTCCACGGGAGTCTGCTTCTCCCTCTACCCTTCACCCCTGCTCAAGATCTCTCTTTCTCTTACTCTCTCTGTCAAATAAATAAAATCTTGATAGATAGATAGATAGATAGATAGATAGATGATAGATTGATAGATAGATGATAGATAGATGATAGATAGAAAGAAAGAAGTCAAATGTCCACCGACTTCCATGAATGTTGAATTTCTGCTTGAAGTTAGTCTCCCTGGGGGTCCTCTGGCCCATCTGTCCCTCCCCCACCCAAGGTCATTTCTGTCATCTCTTCTGCCCCTTCATTCAGGGGGTTTTACCTCATTCTGAGCAGTCCAAGACGGTGGACTTCCTCTTGAGGAAGGCCAGTGCGGAGTCTGCTGTGAATGAGACATGAGTCACGGCAGAGCGTGGTGCCCACTCACAGAGATAACAGAGCAGCCAGCTCGGGCCGCCTGTGACTGTGTGTCCTCAGCGCACTTACTAAGCCCCTCTGGGCCTCATCTTCCCCAGTGGACAATGTGGAGGCCACGACCCGAACGTGCTTGTGAGGCTGGCCTGTGGGGAGACACTGAGCTCGGGTTCCCTTCCCAAGGAGCTGAGTGTCTTACAGAGCTGAGACACTCTTCCCGTGACGGGGGACATAGGTGTTCTACTGAGCGCCATGGCGGATTATCTCAGCCCCCTTCCTAGATGCCGGGGGTGCAGGTGGGAGTCTGCCGGTGATCACAGGGGCGCTGGAGAGTGTGCCCGTGTCCTGCCGTGCGCGGGGCCGATCAGGGCTCTTTGGGCTGCACCCAGGTGCGTCCGATGCTCAGCTCAGACACGCCTCACACACGTGCAGTCAGGCGCGGGCTCTGGAGAAGCGCGATGACACAGAACCACAAAAACGCCCTGAGGTCCCAACAGCCGTGCTGGGTCACGAGTCAGAGGGCACTGATGTCATCAGGCTTTGGTATAAAAGACAAACAGCTCATAAGGTGGGTTCAGTCGGAGGGGTCGTGGGTGCCCAGCCCGAAGCAGGGGGTCCCTTCAGCGGTCATGACAGCGAAGACCGGACTCATTAGATGCATCTCAGTGCGTTGTGGAGGGCTTCCAAGATGTTCACGTCTGTGGCACGTTTCTGTTTTTGCTCTGAAATGTGATGGAAGTTTGAACGTGAGATCTGACGAGGGCGCCTCGTTTCCCAGCAGGGACTCGTGGGCACCTCATGTCTGCACTGTTTCGGGCCCTCCTGGCTGTGGCGGGGTTGGCGTGGATGGTGGAAAATCAAGACACTGGGTCAAGGCGGCTCACCGCCCGCCGGTTCAGAAGGTCTGGGTGCAGAGCCCGCAGAGCCGCTCCCCCCCACGCCCACGCACGTTTGCTGCAACCGTGACACTTGTCTGCACGACGTCGGTGGGCAGAGTTCCGTTCCTCAGCACGGACTGGGCAGAAGAGAGACGCCTGAGGGCGTGAGCATGTGTCCGTGGGGCTGTCAGAGGGGGCGGTGGGCCCGCGCCCCTGCTGCTTCATGAACGTCCGGTGGCACCCGGGGCGGACTCTGGGAAGGGCAGGTCGGTCTGGGTGAAGGGCACACGCAGCCCCACCAAGTGACCCTGAGAGGCAGGGCCTGGCGGTAAGGACACCAGCAGGCTCTTCGAACATGCAGCTGCATCCGCTGCGAGGCAAAGCCCAAGGTTGGCAGGCGGCCTTTGCCCTCCGCCCATACCCTATTTTGTTGTTTTAATGTGAAGGTTTTGCTTAGTTGAGTTGCTTCTAGGCCTCATTTTATCCCAGTCTGTCTGACAAACGACAGGAGCAGAGGCGAAACATGCCGTGAATCATTCCTACCCATAAGACTCAGGACTGACCTTCACCCGACTCACCGTCATCCAGGGAGGATCGTTCTCGAGAGTGAGACGGGTCCCTGCGTCCAGCTACAGGGATTACACCGCGGAGCTCACGCTCTCTGTGAATGCTCGGCTTTGTGGGCTCGTGTGAGCGTTCTGTCTGTGGCCTACGTGTGCCCGGTGTGTGTGTCCTAGCTGTCGTGACGAGCTTGTGATTTCTACAACCAGCGCAACGTGGACGCGTCCGTCAAAGTCCTTGTGTTGACGCTTGCTCTGTCTTTGCCGTGTATGTGTGTGTTTAAGGAGAACACGATCTGAGACGGAAGGTAGGTTGTTTGGGCTTATTCTGCTGATTCCATGCTTCCCCGACTAACGCAGGCTGCTTTCGAGCTGGCCACATGGACCACGTGACCACGGTCCCCATGGCAACTGTATTTATTTAGAACTGTGCCTTATATTGCATTATATTTCTAAACAAATGAAAACATTGCCATCTCCGCTCTCACATTCTACCTAATGTGGTCATCTGGCTGGCCGGCGCTGGACTAGACCACTCATTGGCAGGAAACACGGCCCCAAAGTGTGCAACCTGCCGTAAGCCATGCGGAGACGGGGCGTGGTCAGATCACACTAAATAATTTTAATAGGCTGTCTTGTAAAATACTTAACCCAGTTCAGACCTTTATTATTCACATATAAAAGTTTAATATATATAACTTTTAAGAGCAGTGTCTGGAGGCCCCCTGAAATGAAATTCTGCTGCAGATTTGTGTGAGAGATTGGCAAGCGTCTCCCACTGCCGACCTTCCTTAATGTCCTGTAAAGTTAGAGAAAATGCCAATTTGCTGGATTGAAGGTGGTGGTAGCCTATGTGGGCTCGATCACGGCACCCTAGAATGACTCCGTTTGCAGACTATAGCGTGGATAACCGTATCTACTATTACTAGCAGGATGTCAATGTGGCATTTTTGCCTCAAAACTCATTCAAGAATATTGACAGCCTGCATAAATGCACATGGAAAAATCACATTTATGGAATATGTGCCAAAATGATGACGTGTGTATTATATACACAGTGTATTTGCAAAAGGGTCCTTACCTGAAGCTGCCTGTCTCCCTGGGGACACCAGCTGCCTACACCTCTCACTCCTGATTCGGCGTGGGGTCGAGGACCCCGGGGCCGCACAGGTGCAACCCAGGGCAGGGACCGCCAGGCTTCTCTCACCCAACTCCGTGGGGGGCAGCTGGGTAAAGAACGCAGCTCTCTGCATCTCTCTGGCCTCTGCCACCCCCTCTGGGAAGGGCAGGGCCGTTCTTCCTCACGCAGTGACGTCCCTGTAAGAACATCGTGTCTGCGTTATACGCAAGTGAGCGACTGAAAATCACTGCTAGCGATGTGAACCCGAAATGTTCTCCCAACGGAAAGAAAGAAAATTCATGTTTGGGAAGAACCTGACCTAAGATTAACTAGCATTAAGCAGTAATGCAGGAACTGCAGGCTTTGAGTATTGGTGAAGGAGGCCTGAGTCTAGAGCTTTCTGGAGAAGGGAGGAAGTGCCGTCCTGGGTAGTGTAGCTCTCATGGGGGCTTCCAAAGTGGGACGTGGCTCTGGGCTGCAGAGCGTGGCCGACTCTGCAGAGTCTCATAAGTCTGCGTAGAGCTCAGATTTATTATTGATTATTGATTAAACCCGAGGTAGAGCTGAGAATCACGGACGCCCTGCCTGAGTTGGCACCTGCACGTAGCTCTGAGCCGTGGCCCTGGAGCAACTGGGAAGAGTCTCTGGTGTTTGGGCGTCTGGGTGAAGAGTGTTGGAGATGCACTGAGCTGACGGCCGTGTACCCCTGAACATACTAAAGAATGACTCTGTTTCTCTCTTGCAGAGGAAGAGGGCGGGGACCTGGTCCAGCCCGGCATCAGCTTTCCGGGGCCAGCAGAGGAGGATCTAGGTAGAGTACACATCACCTCAGCCCTGGTGACGCGGAGATTAGACACAGCGGGGCACGCCCCGGGCCGGACGACTCTCTGCACCTCAGAGACGGGATCCCTCCCCACAAAAATGGTTGAAGCATGTGTGTGACCTCGGCATGCCCTAATTTAAAGAACTGAATGAGATGTGGTGAACGTTTTAAATAATTTGTACAGAGTGGAGAAACTATAAGTGAGAACACATTTGCTCCAGATCACTGCAGACTAATTACTAAGACAGCTAGTCATTATGAATAACGATTAAAGCAGTCAGTAGCGTAATTGATACACGTGTAGAATGGCACCTCTCTCCCTTGCTCCCTCGTGACTAAACCTTACTCTGAGTATATCCAAGGAAGAGAAGAAGCCTTTACTCACGGCTCTTTACGTGGCTCTTTACCTGACACAGACAGCTGAGTGCGTGGGCAGGCCCAGCGTACACTGGGGCGTGGGTGCCGAGTGCAGTCGTGTGCTTTCTTGCAGGGAGCTCCGAATTATGGTATGGTATAATATGATAGCATATTCTCCCCGGAGCTAGTTAGAGTCATGTGGAAATTTTACTTTTCTGCTGTCACAGACACAATAACGCCAGTGCCATCTCTGGCCGTGATCACTTGACGTGGATCACACGTACGTGGAAAGGGGCCGGTGTTTCTGTAAGACACGTGAGCTGTTGAATAAATTCAACGTCCAGCAGTCCGTGAGAACCCCCCACACACACTGTAGCTCAGGCTCCTGCTGTCATAGCACTCAGGGCTGAATTATGGATCAAAAAGACAATTCCTACTTGAATTTGAATTTTTCTTAACTGATTTCAGTCCTTTAGCCAATGAATCTGTTGCCCATTTGATTGGCTTAAAGAATAATACTGTAAATGGAGGCAGTCCACTTGTATAAGTCTGTGATTTCTTTTAAAGAAAAGTAGAGGCAAAAAATTTTCTTTTCAATTAAGTTATGAATATAGGTGTAGTTCTGAAAGAGTGACGGCTAGCGATGGGACATTTTGCACTGCAATGGAGCTCAAAATGTATTTCTAACTTGCCCTCCTAAACAAGCCTTTCTTTGCTCAGAAACATGCAAGCGAAATCATCTTCCCTTCCTGCTGGAAAGGCGTCCCAGCTTTCTCATTTGAATTCTGTTCCACTCTGGGGACGGTCCCTCGCAAGCAGGTCTCGGGAGGCGTCCAGTGAGTGCACAACTCATTTGACTTTTGTTTCCCTGGGGCTTTGGGAGTAGCCCACCTGCGTCTTGCGCTGTGCGCAGTTTGGATGTCATGATTGTGTCTGGTGCCCATTCTTTCCCGAGACAGTCTCTCGGAATGGGGCAGACGCGCGGAAACCGAGGAAGAGTGTGCATCTGCAAGCCCTGTTTTTGTGGCCGGCGGGATTCGAAGCTGACACGTCCACTGTGCGGGGGGATCCCAGGGAGAGCTGGCCCACCTCGGGGGAGACAGGTGCCCCTTCTCGGCTGGCTCGTGGCGGCTGGGTGTTGTTTCCCCGGGGCCGGGGCCACGGGAAGGGCCCAGATGACTGAGCAGCATGAAACTAAACCCCAGGTCGTAGGAATCACACCGGAAACACAGGTGCCCCCCCCCGCCCTTGCTGCCGAGTCCCGGACTCGAGTCTAAATGTGTGCCATAGTCACGTGAGCTGAGTGCGGCCGGGCAGGTGCGGGGCGGGAGGGGTCTGCGCACCTCCCCGCGGCCCGCAGACCCGCAGCCTGAGTTGGCGCCCGCGCGGGGCCGCTTCCCGGGGCCGTGTTCACAGAGGGTGCCCGTGCGGGCGGACAGGCCGCGGTGCTCAGGGAGTATTCTTTGCATTTGGTAAGATAGACACAACATAAAATTGACCATTTTGACCATTTTTAAGCGTACATTTGGGGGCATGGAGTACATTCACGTGGTCGGGCAACTGTCCCCACCCCCGCCCCCAGGACCCCCATGTTCCCCATCGGCCCCTCCGCACCCCTGACCCAGCGCCCACGTCCCCCAGCTCGGTGACCGGCATCCTGCTCCGCTTCCCTGAGTCTGACCACCTCGGCTCCTGGGCTGAGCGGCTCCTGCAGAACCAGTTCTGCTGCGATGGGCTTCTCTCACTCAGGGCCATGTCCTGGGGACTCACCCACGTCGGAGCAGATGACACAGTCTCCCTCCTTCTCAAGGCTGCGTGACATTGCCCCATGGGGACACACCACATCGTTTGTCCGTTCACCCGTAATGGACACCGGGCTTGCCTCCCCCTCCAGACTCTGCTGAATAATGCTGCTGGGTGTATAAAACCTCTCCGGGACCTTGCTCTTAACTTTGGGGGATGCACCCAGGAGTAGACTTGCTGAATCACGTGGTAACTCCACTTCCAATTTTGTTTTGAGGAACCTCGTACTGTTTAGGGACAGAAAGTGTTTGGTGAGCTGTTTCTACAGTCTGGCCATGACAGGACGGTGATCCCAAGAATGTCAAGGGACAGTCAGATTTGGGAGGCTTTGGTCAGAAAGAAAGACGAGGATTGGGGGCTGTTGGCCCTCAGGAGCTCTCAGACACACATCTGGTTTCCCCGCATGAGGACAGGAATGGGCAGGTGCAGTGTGTTCGGTGGCGGGAAGGCGTGTTAGGACCCCAGGCAGAGGTCGCCCGGCTCAGGGACGTGCACATGGCTCTAGCGATTGTTTTCAGCGCATTGACCGGGACAGTGGGTCTCAGCCGTGGTTGTCCCCAGCCAGCGCCACCACTCGGTATCAGAAATACCGCAACCTGGTTCCCAGGCCCACACGTTCTGATGCAAGGCTGCCTCTAGGGTTCCCTGCGCGTGCCCACGTGCACCCCCAGGGTGGAGAACGCTGGCATGAAGGGCACGCGTCGATGGTGACAAGAGGGTGAAGGGGGGGCAGGGCCGGGAGGGGTGGGAGCACGGGCGGGAGGGGACAAGTTCTGCGCGACGCTCCCAGGCTGCAGTACTAACCAGTCAGGAGCAAACACCATACTGTGGAATCTGCCCGTGTCCTCCTCTGCAAATTGAGGGGCTGCACTGCATGGGGTTTGCGGGCCCTTCCGTCTTGAATGCGCAGCTCTCCGATTCTCCTGCACCAAATCCAGGTGCAGAGCACTTCGCAGGGCCCTCAGTGCTGTGGTCATGGAAGGTGTGTCCTTTCTGCGCGTGGTGGCATGTTTTGAGGCCGGCAAAGGCTGCGTCCGTCCGCACAGAAGCCAGGCGAGCTTTCCTCTGCTCCCTTCAAAGCTCCCGTCTGTTTCTCCCCCAACTGGCCTCAGTCTCTCTGAGGAAAGGCAAGCGACGCTGGCTGAAAGACCAGAAACTGTCTTTAGTGACAGAGAATTTAGGAATAAATTCCGTGCTCAGGCTGCGACCCATTACGGGCATAGCTAAGGGTGTGTGCTCAGAAGCTCACCTATTATCAGGTATGGAAATAATTGTATGAGGAGGAAAGTGCCATGGAAAATAGGAAGATAAAAAAGGCTTCTTTGCAATTCATCTAAAGTCAGTGATGAAAATGAATTAATTTAGCTCATTCACAATGGCTACAATAGAAGAGAAAAACCTACTTTTTCCAGGGGAAACGTCTGAGGGAAGACCTTCAGACACACTAACATTAAATTGCTCGGCCAGTAATTTTGTGACCCTGGTTCACGATAGGAGCCATTGGTCTACGGATGCCTTTTCTTCATTCTCTCGAGCATGATATTTAAATCAGTTGCAAAGAGTTGGCAGTTTATAAGCACTTATGAGCTCTGTGATGTGGACCCAAATTCTGCACCAGTAAGTTGACTGCAAAGTGGAACTTTTTCAAAGGGCAGATTAAATGATCAAAGAATAGTAGGTACATATTGTATGAGATGCAGCACAGAGAAAATGGGTGAATATTGTAAAAGGCACTTGCACACTAGAGTAATGATGCCCAACACATAGAGGCTTCCGTGGGCCGGGCACGTGTGCTGAGGATGTGTTCTCATTCAGTGGACACCCCCGGGCCCTGATCACGTCTACACAGCATAGGACCTAACATACAAAACTTACTCTAAAAGAGCTCCCTCTTCAGAGGGTGATATTTTACATCCTTCTATAAGCACCCTGGCCATCTTGTAGACATGTAGTTTTGTAACTCGATGGGCATCCACACTTATTTCCTTAAGGTAAATTCCTAGAAGTTTCTAGAAACTGTGAAGTGGTGCCATGTTTCTATCTAGACAACAACAGTGTGTTCATTGCTGCACCCTGAGCATCTGGAGCCCTCTCTCCATCCTTCCCCACCCTCCCCGTGTCCTCCCCATGCTCCTGGGATATTCAGGATTTCTCCCAGCCGCCCATGGGAACCCAGGGGCCCCAGGGGGCCAAACCACTCTCCAGTGTGTGACATCAGCAGTTACTGTCACACGTGCAGAAAAGGTGGGAAAGGTTACATGTCAGTGAAGGGCGCATCCAAATAGAGGATTTTATGTGACCATTTCATGTTAAAACAACCTGAATAGGTCAATAACCAGTAATGAGACTGAAGCAGTGATCAAAAACCTCCCAAAAAACAAGAGTCCAGGGCCTGATGGATTC